ACTTTTCCAGAAAATCTTCTTTTATTCAGCCTTCAACATCCATTTTAAGTTTTAACTGACAAAATAAAAACGTTCAAGAATGCAATGCTTGGGGTTTTTACAAAGCATTAAAAATTTAGAGCGAATTAGAGAACTATTATAGAATTATCTAGTTTTAGATTTGACAAAAAAACTTATTGACTAACACAATGCGCGATATTTTATTGTTACCTCATAATGCGTAAGTGATGTATTATTCATGCTTTGAAAATGATACCAAGATTTAAATAGAAGGGAATTTTTATTTTAATTACCAAAAAAACTCTAAAATCAAATAAACTTGGTAAGATATAGATAATTTTTTGAATATCCGGTGCTCGATTATTGGTTCATTCAATAAAAAAAAAGATTTTTTTTTTCTAGGAAGCTAAGGTGCTACTGAAAAACGCGTTAGTCGGTCAGCATATGCGTCAAAATAAAACCTTCTAATAGTCTGAGACCTGCTCTAAAATTAATAATCCATGATTAATCAAAATAATCCATGTCAATTTTTAGCAAGATAAAAAGTAAAAAAACTGCAAGGTTTTGTTTTTTTTACAGCACGGTAAATTTTTTTTAGCATTAGAAGAATATAAGTAGAATTATCTGATTTCAAATTTGGCAATAAAATTAATTGACTTAGGTGACGCGCTTTATCTTACTGTTTCTTCATAACACGTAGCTGAAGTATTAATCATGCTTAGAAAACATTCCAAGATGCAAAAAGGGGGACAAGTTAATTGATACAAAAATTAAAACACCAAACGCAAAACCTTTGTGTTTGAACTTGACTTTGCTTGTTACGGAAGACTTCTGTCAACTCATTATATTTTTGTTGACCTATCGAGAAATCGAATTGTTCAAGTCCTAATCTTGTTGGGGTCTTGCTGTTTTGACTTTCGAAGAAAGAGACGGAATTTATGTGATTTTTTCTCTCCATCCAATTTTGATAATTCATCCAAATTTGTCTCCAAGTCTTTTCTGCTGCAAATCTCGAAATTAAATGAATAAATTAAATGCAACCATTTTCTCTGTATACACAAAGATTCGAGTTTAGGAATATCTTTATCACAGAAAACAAAACAAATCGGGACAATTAACGCTCGACTTGGTTCATGATATTCAAGAGTAGGCGGCAAATTAGATCATTCAAAACAACTTGTTTTTATAAAAAACCTTGCCGTGCGTCGAATATTTTTTTCCATTTTTTAGTTGTTCAAAATGTGTTTGAGGATTAAATTAGATGACAAAACTGAAAAAAGAATTGAGAAAAGAAATCAACAATTTTCCATTTTTTTCGCACTTTTTATTCGACAAATTTTTTGAAGTCAAAAACTATTTCATCAACGCTGAAGGGGAAGTCGGAACAATCAATCTTTGGACCAAACACGAGCAGCCTTGCTCTGCTTATAGTCAAGTTTTTGGGTGTTGAGAAAGCCCGTTCAAAATTTTTTCGTTTATATTAAGGCTTTCGTTGATGTCTTCTTGTTACCAAAATTCTTAATTTTTCTAATTTATATGAGATTAAAAGTCGACAAAATTGCGTTTAAAATATAAATAAACAAAATTTTTTAAAACAGGCTAAAAGAGCATTTTATCGGACTCTGGGAAAATTTGACCTAAAATCGAGTTTTTTTGGAGCGGTTTCTACTCAAAAATACTAGTAAATAATGGAGCCTTTAGAAAAATTTTAGTGTCCGTCGCCAAAAATGGATATCTCAAAACAGTACTAGATGGGAACCCTTTGGGTCGGCAGGGGGTCGAAACCCTGAAAAAAAAGGCGCTCCCCACCCATACCCCGCCCCTATAAATGCGCTAGTGTAACCAACGGTTTTTTTTCAAAAAAAATCTGTCATCGGAAGTCAGCCCTCTTTGATGCCTCCAAAGCAAACTTCTACACGTTTTTTTTGTTGCACAAATCCTAATTCTTATTATTTTCCTTTGCATTTTCAGTTTGATGAATTGGAAATTTAATATTTGTTTAGCAGTTAAGTAACAGGAAGCGAAGAATACTTTGGAATTAATAACTCACACGCTTGGCTAGGTGTCAATCCGTTTTTTTTTTTTTACAAATAATTCTTTTGAATGCGTTAGTCAGATGACTGAACTGAATTATGGTTGTTTCACGAAGTCGTTTGTTTGCAAAAGATAGCCAATAGACAAGATTATAATGTCAAGTTCATTAGAAACTTAATGCATTTATAAACTCCTCTTCTGTAAAAGGGGAAATTTAGAAGAATAAGTTCATAATTAATGTTCTTTAAACATATCTCACCACTATCACAGACGATGACAGTTTATACCCAACCCAAACCGTCCCCTTTCTAGAAATTTATTTCTCAACAATGTTCATTTCAAAATTCACTAAATATTGCGTCAAAATTGAAATATTTCTAATAAGATGGCTAGAAATTGTATGACTTTCGTTAGATTTTCCCGCATAAAAGTACATTTTTCCTTTTTTCCCAAAACTTTTAGTAATTGGGCCTTGATTTTTTAAAGTAGTAGTCTAAGCAATGTCAAGCGGTGCCAAGTTGACATTTATTTAACCTTTTTCTTTTTACAAGGTCGATATACATGACTTGCTACTATATTAGTGACAAACAGAACAGTTCATATGATTAATAGATTGACTAGTAGATAAGCATCCAATTTTCTAATGAAAATTTTTGCCCACTCGGCGGCCAACTACGAGCAGTCATTGTCAGTCTCGATTGATTAAACTTCTTTAGCAAAAAATGACGGCTTTATATTTGCGTTTTTTCCTTTGTGATTTAATTTTATTGATATTACATTTGAATTTGAGGGGAAAAAACTCCTCTGAAAAATCCATGAATTATTTTGAACTTTATTAGTAAATTTAATTAATAATGTCGGACAGCTTAGACATTCCCGGAGACAAACAGTGAAACAGCGTATTGCCATAGACAACAAATATTAACAAGACTGCTCGTATCAGGGCAAAGCCCTGAATGTTCCGACTGCCTTTTAAGGTTTATGGAGCAGCACTAATAACATAAAAAATTAAATGAAATAAAATAAAATGAAACTTTTTTTTTCTAAAATTTGAAATTTTATAATGAAAATTATCCCCCCGCACGCCATATAAAGTACAAAAAGATAGATTTCCTTCCTTGTAACAAATCATTATGGCAAATAAGCTTCGTTCAACCAATTTGGAACGATTTATGAGACGGATTAAATCTCCGCTTACGCGTTTTATATCGAATTATATCGCGCGTTAATTGTCCCAAATTGGCCAAAATGGCTATCTTTAAACCCCCATAACTTTACGAAAATGATCACAGGTGAAATATCTTTTCAAATTTGAGCTCAGGACAACAATAGCTTTCGAATGATATAAAAAAAAATTCCGTCAAAAATGGCTAGTTAAAAAGTCGAATTTTGTCTGAAGAAAAAAAAACCCACCCCGAGCACAAATATTCCGTTACTTTCGTATCGAAAGTCAGAACAATAAAAAATCTTTTGGACAAATAAAAAAAGATCAATGAGAACATAATTGGTATAGTTTGATTAAGTCTTTGGGGAAACATCCAAGGAAAAAGTTGAAATAAATTCAAAAAAAATAATTCGAACCTTCCTTGAACGTAAAAAAAAATTGAGCAGTTGACTAATTAACTATTCTGTATTCGTTTTTTTTTTACTTTACAGCGTAATATCCACTACGCAAAATTACAATGAAAATATCTCGTTTTAAATTTGGGGTTTGAGGAATGAAAGCTAGAATGAGACTTTTAATGAAACGGGTGGTTTTAACGTCTTTGAAGCTTTTTTCAAAATTTAACGAAACTGTCAGAAAAAGAAATAAAAAACCTGATTTAGTCTTTTCAGACTTTTTTGAAAAAGTTCTTCCACACGCCAAGTATGATGAGTTTACTGTCTCATAAAACATATAACATAACTAAAAGCTTTTTTTTATGACTTTGAAACAATTTACGAGCCGAATTAATTGCTGTTTATGCTTTAATAGTCAAAAACATAATTCACATTATTTGTCCCAAATTGGTGAAAATGACAAATTTCAAACCCCCATAACAAGGTACCGCGACAACTCGAAATAAAAGACAACTCACAAAAGTCAAGGAAAGTGGCGTAACGCAAGGTTTTAAAATTAATGGAAAACGTTAATTTTGCATTAAGTGATGGGGGCGCTACACAGGCGATAACCGGCTCTAAATTTCGTATAAAGCCCTACGATCTGTTGGCAAGACCGCAACATGTTGGAGCAATTGCGGCGGTGAGTATATTGCGAGATGTTTTGTAATGTGAGTTGATTTTATTGCGATTTCTCTTTTGTTGCGAAATGCCGAATTATGCCATAGCTAAGCCCTTTAGAAAAAATAACCACTGGTAGTCTAGATTTTGTGAAGTTCAGAACAAAAATTCAAATTTTTAAAGCCTATCATTTTCACCAGCACAGCAGATGTTCAACTTTCAGTTTAGGGTCTCAACTTTCAGTTTAGGGTCTCAAAAGACTTTACTAAAAGAAATTTCCGTCACTTTTTTGTTGACACTCATTTTGTTCTAATTGTTTGAAATAAATTCAATTGTTTTTTTTTAAGTTTTCATGCTACTATTGCAAAAGTCCAAGATATCTGAAGAAGAAAAGAACCAACACTGAAATTTCTTTATTATTTTTTTTGCCATTTTTTTTTATTGCAAAACCCTGAAAGTATGCAAGATAGTATAATAATATGAAAGAAGTGATATCTTTGGATGCTTTTGTAGTTTCAAATCTCAAATCTTCATCTCCTATACTTGTCTGAACTGTAATCTTTGAGGGCATTTATAAAAGGTCGTATCAAAATTGATTTTACTTTGTACCTTTTCTTTCTCTCTTCTTTAATTTGACTATAGTTTTTGTTCTTATTTTGCTTTGATCACTTCAAAAATTTCCGACGGATTAAAATCACTAGAAATAGTTCTTCTTTTATTTTTATTTGACCGGTTTTTTTTTTAATTTAGGGCGTTTCGCGGATTGAGTTTTCTGCCCAAAACGGCCTGTAACTTGCGTGCCTTTTTTATTCTTTATTTTCAGGCGGATTATTTCACTTCTTTTTGCCCAATAGAATTTATTCACGTTTTCATTTGCTTTTACCTTTCAAACTTTTCTCAGTTGCTGGTCTTGATTTATCATTTTTCTCTTTTTGCACAATTATTTTGAATTTTTTCCCTGGCATATGTCATTTGGGGAAAATTGATGATATTTCAGAAAAACGAGTTTTTTCAAGCAGAAACTGCTTTTGTCATTCATAGTAGCCTCTTTTTAATATCCGTTGCTCTTTTGTGTTCCTAGAAGCAGAGTTTTTCAAAAGTACCTCATTAAAAATCGACAGTTATCAAGAACATTCGTTAAAGCTTAAATAAATATTACGTTTTCTTAGAAAGTCAGAAAAAAAGACTTCTAACTGATGGCGTCAAATTATCCACAAAAAAAATTAGTTTTTTATTTTGTCTCTACTTCATTATTGAATAATTTATTGACTTGACTAACTTAACTAATTGTATTTCATTATTGGATAAATTTATTGCTTTAGTTATTTCATTATTGAATAAAATTTTTGACTTGTGAGCATTGCTTTATTGTTCCTCATTTAGAAAGAAAAGACAAAAAAATGTACAATTTCGTTTTTAAAAATTGGTTTTAATCAAAAATTAGTTTCTTTAAATAATTCGCAGAAACCATCTCAGTCTTAAAATGGCAACAAACGATCTCAATTTTTCTCTAATGAACGATTCAGCTCTAGAAGAACTCAATTCTTGCTCAATGGTCGAAGATTGTCAAATTTCAGAAGCACTTTGGAAATTGAGCGGCATTCCTCAAGGTTTATTTTACATAATTGTTATATTTTTCTCGCTCTTTGGCAATATTATCGTAATAAAAACGGTGAAACAAGACCCTGAAATGTCCAAATCGTATTCCAACATTTTCCTGGTCAACTTAGCTCTTTGTGACATAGCTCAGGCAGGTTTGATGCTTCCTATTTTTGGGACAACCGCAGTCTTGGGGGACTCGTATATATTCCCGCCCATTCTTGGAAACGACATTATGTGTACCGTTTCCAAATTTCTTAACCAATTATGTCCAGCTGTGACTTGCTACACAAACACAATTATAGCTGTGGACCGATTCGTGGCTTTCGTGTATCCGTTTCGGAAAAGAATAACGAAACTGACAGCCTGTTTAATCATGGGGTTCACATGGGTGGTGTCGGCGGTGTTCTGCACAGAATTGTTCTGTCAGCCGGAAGTGGTGGATAACTGCTGGAGTGGGTGTCGCAAGCGAACCTGCATCAACAACTTGACCCCTGTGTCCAGATTTTTGGGGTGAGTGCAGGGGAACTGGATCTATTTTTTATAGTGTGAAATCATTCAATATGTTGAAAAATAGTGAATATAACATAATTTTTTGCATCACACTAGCTTGTCAGTTAAGTCTATACAATAAACTTTTTGAGTATGCATTACCATAACTTTACGTCATAATAATCCTTCATAACCGGGCCTCATATACATTTAAACTAACATACCACGTTCAAATTGTAGTGAGGATATTTAAACAACCCACTGATATTTGATTTTTGCGGGGTAAAACGAATCAAACTTAGTTGGCTGGAGTCAAGTTAGGGCTTTAGTAGAAGTGGTATGCGAGTCCTTGATAATAACCGGGGTCAAGTTTTCTGCCCATAGTTTTTCCATATGTAAAGTAGATGATTGAACCCGCTTCTTACTCCACTTTCAAAAACTTCCAAAAGTTGCCCAAACACATAAGCAAACACATTGCCCAACTTTATTAACAATGGGCATTTTTTACTTATTATTTCAAAAACTTGCTTGCAGCGCAAAAAATAGTGAAAATGTGGTCTCCCAAAATCAATTTGTTCGACCAGGTCTTTTCCATTCCCTCAACAGCTCAAATTTTCTATTTTGAACTTTAAGCGTGTTATAATTCCTTTACCCGTTATAATTGCAAAACGCGTGATGTTCCGATGCAAAATTTGTGCACCAAATGTGTTTAAAATAGTTAAATTGTTCCCCTCGCAAAATTTTATTTTGCTATGTTAACGTTCAAATAGTTTTTCAAACTTGAAATACAAAATCGTTTAAAATTCAGTTTCATAGTAAAGGCTTTGAAACGAATTGAAAAAATAAACGATTCTTATGGTTTTATTAAGAAATATCACTATTATTTATTTCAAATTTATTAAATTCGACTATTTTTAACTTTCATAGACACTGACAAGGAAACTCAAATGTAATCAATTTTTATGCACGGAACTACAGAGGAGCCCTCCTCGTGTTTTGGAACTTTTGGGCGCTTTTATCCTTTTCCGTGAAAACTTAGGAGAATTGTGAAGAACATATCAACCCGACCCATAAAAAATTCAGTATCAATAAGTGAAACCTATTTGATAAAAATTGGGATCTTTCAATCCCTTTTTCTAAAAATAGAGCTCATTCATAGAAACGGCCTTATAGAAATTAAACGTCAGACTGAAATTAAAACCAATAATGTCAAACTGGGTTGCTAGGATCGTATCAGATCAATTATAAATTATTAGTATAACTTATATAAACTTCAAACAAGTTGTTTTGAATTCATCTTGTGAAGTTTAGATGTATGTTTGTTGTATGACCTGAAAAAGAAAAATTGTGAATTAAAAAATCTAAAGTATCCATTGCTGAAAAGATTGCGCACAATTTTGATAAAATTAACAAATTATTTTATAAGATAACACTGAGCTTAGTTGCGCACATAGCTATTTTTCGAGCGATGAGCTTTCAAACCTGAAAGTTCTATTGAAAAAAAAATTGGTAAAATTGAAATAGTGGATTCCGCAAGCTAGAAATCTAGGCTTTAATAATGTTTATATTTGACTAGTGTCGATTTTAATGAAAGTTATTTCAACGCATGCAGATTTTAGTGCAGAATGTCTAAGCAATAGTTATTGATGTGCTTTCTCATCCGGGGATTCTATTGACAATAATGGATCTCACCAACAATTGCTCGGACACAGTGATGGATGTAGTTTTTCTCGAGATAGCGAGTTTTTAAAAAATCGAAATTTCAGTCGTCTTTTTTTAGGTCAAATATACATAATTTCTGTTTTGTTCTAAGACGATTTAAAAATCTTGTTCTGCAGAAAATGAGTCTACGCTGCTACAAAATTTGAAATAATGGTCAGAAATGACGCTAGCACACTTCTTGGAAGGTGTTTGAAAGCGCCATCAGAAAACTTTTGGAGCTGATTGACTAAAATTGGATTAGGCTCTTTTTCCTTTTCCCCCACCTGCTAATTTTTCTATGTAAATTTGTTGACCACATTGTCCGATTGTTATGAAAACTCACATACAGACTAATAAGGCCACGACAAACATATTTGGTCTTCATACTCTACCTCGTAAAACCACTCGTTACACTAATATAGTGAAGCTCGTGTGATTTTTTGGGATTTTTGAGGTCTGAGGATTGAACTACTAAAAGTGGATGAGGAGGAGCGTCTTACCTTTTCCTCCGAAGACTTTTTTGAAAAAAAAAATCAAACATTTTGTGATACGATCGATAATAACCTTTGCCCGTAATTGGAGATAGGTAATCATTTTTTAATATTTTTTTATATTTTTTTATTTTTTCCAATTTCGATTTTTAGAAACTAAGATTCTAAGGCAATTTTTAATTGTTTCCATTTTCGATCCTTAGATTCTAGGATTTTAAAGCGATTTAATACATGGGGGATGACCAACATACGAGCTGTTCAGCTCTTCACGTAGAGCCGCTTTTGTACCCCAGGCTAGGATCTACATGCAATTGTTTTGGTTATTTTCGGGGCTGGGTAGTTTTGCCTTACACTCAAGCAACGAACGCGGTTTATGATGGGCCTCGAACATCCGACCTTTTGATTGAGAGACGAAGAAGTTACCACTTCGCCACCTCTCCCTTAGGATATGGCTTGATATACATTTGAACAAAATTCCCTACAAAACTGCTCGCATATCACGGGGCGAACATCTGAATTTGTTGACTGCATTTTAAAACCAATTTAATTTTTCTCGGTTGAAAAATATCTATAAAAAAAACTTTTTTCTTTTCATTTTTTCTTCAATTCATCCCCCCATATGTTACTGTACGTTACAAAGCTACAGAGCTTTTTTTTAGCGCCTTGTATGTTGATAATACGTCCAAATGAATTGCCTCAATTCAATTTGGAACGCGTTATTCCGCCGCTTACGCAAGCCATTAGAAGGCAATAAATCGTGCGATAATTATCCCAAATTGACCAATTTAGCAATTTTCAAACCCCCATACCTTTACAAAAAACGATCATATTTGACAAATAAAAATGAATTTGAGCTCATGAAAGCAATACTTTTCAGACGAAGTAAAAAATTTACCAAAAATGCTTTATTAAAAGTTCGAAAAATGACTGAATAAAAAACAACCTCACAAAGCATAAGTAATCCGCACTTTCTGGGAAAACCGGAACAATAATACTATTTTTATCATTCGAGCACTCGTGGTATGTTTAATTTAATGAGTCGGATATCTTCAACTACTCCCTTTTGGTAAATAGCAACGAATTTCCACCCCTTTTAAGAGCTAAATCAACTGTTCAGTATATGAGAATTTTGAGCCTGGCAACAAATGTCCCTATCTTTTTGCAAAAAAGTAATAATTTAAGAGATCCATTGGCCCAAAATATTTTAGGTGTTTACGCATTTATATTTTAAATAAGAGAATCTAAACATTCATTGACATTAATATTATTTTTCAGCATCCTTTCTGAAAGATTATTCAAATAAAAGTCACTGCTGTGGGCGAAAATTTACAATATTATCTATATTAATTTTAATGGTTGGCTAGTACTTAAAATTTTGTAAAACTCTGTAGCCGCATAAGCAAAAAACCTAAATCAGCTTCTAATAAACGAACGCCTGTCAAACCTAAAATTTTCTGGAATGAGAGGAGGGGCGGATTTTCAAGAATTTTTTTGCCGACGGTTGAAAACTTTTGTTGAAATTTCAATGATGAGCAATCAACAGTTATGACTTTTTGAGCTCTGCGCAAATCCCAGATTGACCAAAACTGGTAAATGAATAAATCTGAGCTGCGCTGCGGGTCATTTTATAAGAAAAAAAAAACAAACATAGTTTTGTAGCTTTTTCAAATGGTTTTGACACAAAGTTTTTGGCGCCCCCATCCGACATTTTCATTTTCCTTAAAATTAGTATATTTTTTGGAAGTTACGAATGTGACTACAAAAAAAAAGAAAAGATATTGGGATTGAGGCCGAAGTTTCTCATGCTTTGTACAGTTTGCCAGTGCAAAACGCATTAAAAAAATTTCACCACCAATTATGTTCATTTATGGAAATCATATCGTATTTTTATGAGACTGCTGTTAAAATAGTTTCAGTGTATGCCATCTATTTTGTATACTTTCAAACTGGCGAAATTTATGCAAAATGTCCAAATTATTTATTTGTTTGGACAGTACAATTCATTGTCAAACTCTCAAAACATCATAATATATCTCAAATTGCTGAGAAAAAAATGACCTTGACCGGGCTTGGTGTTATTTCATCCGATGAGTTCTTTTTCTGCTATTTTTCGGACCTTTGGGACCAGAGGATTAATCCAGATGCAAAGGATACCTTATTCAACTAAAAATTAATTAAAAATAGTAGCGTTCTGCGCTTGTGCAGGAAGGGAGAAACGAGAGAGAATTGTTAAATTTAGATTAAATTTTCACTTTCAATTACGCTACACCCCATAACACACCTGATTTGGAAAACAATCAGGTTAAAAGTGCGCAATGGGATTAATTTTTTTACCCTGGAATCTGCCTTAAAAAGATTTGCGATCAAATAAAGCAAGTCTTTGGTGGAACAATTTTTTTGAACTATTCTCCCCCTTTTAATTCTCCAAGTTTTCTGCTTATCTGAGCAGAGATTCAAAAAAAGACATCCATTCCCGCTTAGTACCTAGAAAATATTTTCCCCGTAGAGGACTAATTAATCGGCTAAAAATTTTAATTTTACTTCGTAATTTTTCCTAGAAAATTTTTCCTCAAAGAAACCAAGGGAAGCTCCAGTCTTTGGCAACTATTGAGATACTATATTTAAACAAATTTGACCTTAATTTCCTTTAAGTAAAGAATCAAAAAAGGCAGGTGCTTTCAATCTATTTATATTAAAACGGATCAGCCTGAAAAAGAGTAACCGATAAACACTCGGGAAAATGGTTGTAAAATATTTGCATACATCATAAAGCCTGCTGCTGAAGACATAATTTTCTTAAAAAACGAACAGACGTGCAGAAGACAAAAA